TGTCTTCTCGTGGGTTCTGCTGGCTTCCAGAGGGGCCTGGAAGGCCGTCAGGGGGCAGGGGTGCCTCCTTCTGACCTCCAGAGAGGGGGCTTTGAGGTCTCGCGGGTCTCTCGTCCCCGTGGTGGGTCTGCTGCTGTTGGGGCTGCTGTTGCTGCTCCTGCAGCGCCTGTTGCTGCTGGTGCGGCTGCGGTTGCGGGTGCTGCTGCGGTTGTTGTTGCTGCTGCTGCTGCTGTGTGTGTGTGTGCGTGTGCGTGTGCGTGTGCGTGTGCGTGTGCGTGTGCGTGTGCGTGTGTGTGTGTGGGGTGCTGCTGCTGCTGCTGCTGCGGGGTTCTGTTGCTGCTGCTGCTGCAGCTGCTGCTGTGGCTGCTGCGGCTGATGCCCTGCTGCTGCTGCTGTAGCTGCTGGGCTCTGTTGCTGCTGCTGCTGCTGCTGCGGTTGTTGCTGCTGCTGCTGCTGCCCTGCTGCTGCGGCTGCTACTGCTGCTGCTGCTGCTGGCGTTGCTGCGGCTGCCGCTGCTGCCGCTGCTGCTGCTGCTGCTGCAGGTGCTGATGATGCTGCTGCTGCTGCTGCTTTGGACACGTCTGCGCGGACAAGCTTCGATGTGACCACCTGTACAAGAACGGTGCGCCAGCGATCCACTATTGGGACGCTGGCGCGGTAGCGGAGGAGACGAGCACCGCAGTAGCTCGCCCCAAGAGGACTGCACTCCGCTGCCGCCAATCGCGGAGCGGCGACCGTGCACAACCCGTGCCACGGAGATGGCTCCGGTGCCGGGTGAGGCTTGCCAGCTGTTGCAGCAGACACGTCAGCTGCGGCCCGTGGCGGCCGCCGAATTCAAGCGCAAGGCCTTGCACGCTGGCGCCGCCTCGAGCTCCATATTTCGCTACTTTCGCAGCCTCGGCAGCGGTCGTGCCAGCACCGGCGGTCGCCGAATGGCCGCGGCGGTTGTGTGTGCTGACGACTTCGAAATCTCCGTGGAAAATTGGGAGCGAGCAGTGGCCCCAGAGCCGCACGTCCACGCGCGGCTCACGCATGGTTGCCGTGGCCAGGTCTGGAAGCACGACCTCGCGTGTGGCTGCAAGGCCGGCTGCGCGAGCGCGCGCCGCGAGCTCGTCGCAGACTCCATCATGCAGACGGTTGTGGGGTCCACCGATCATGCAAGATACCGCGTGATCTCCAAGCTCGTCGAGTGCGTGGCCACAGACCCTTCCAGCGCGCGTGCGGCGCTGAGAAACACACGCAACGCCGAAGAGCGGGAGCCGGAGACGCCGGCGGAAATTGATGCGGAATTCATCTTCCGACCAAAGGGCCAAATCCCCAGTGGAATTGGCTGTGAAACCAAGCCCGCCTTCCGGGCCGCCTCCGGACAGCCAGTGCTTCCGCTGCTCAGGCGCCCCAAGAGTGCGGCATCGGCCTCTCGGAGCATCCACAATTTACGACGGTGCCGCAGCGCTGCGCCTGCAGCTACCGCGTGCTCGAGCGAAAATGTGTGGACACCTGTTTGCGCATCAGGCTGCGGCTGCGGCATCCCCCACGCGTCGAGGAACACGCCGCTCGCCGCCAACCGGCCAAGGCAATCTCTGGCAGCAGCGAGCCTGCGGGAGCGCTCGTACCCTACGTCGATTACAGCTGGCTGCAGGTGGAGGACAAGCTGCCGAGAGGCTTTCGGCAGCACGCGGAGGAGCGTGGCGAGATACGAAAAATGAGCCTCAAGAGCAATGGGTCGAAGCGCCATGCCTCCATGGCTGAGCGGTGCATTCAGGGTGCTGGGACAGGCCTGCCACTGCGGGTTCGTGCAAGCAGGCCCCAGAAAAGCTGTCCGGATAAGATCGCTGACCGCGTTGTCCAAGCGACGTGCGTACGGTAGGAAGGCTGCCGGCTTCACAACACAGGCGTCGTAGGACAGAGCGCGGTTCAAAACCAAGCAAACAAGCTTCCATAGAGGGCCCAACTTACGGCAAGTGAGCTCGGCATGCGCAACTCACTTTAAAATGCTGCTGCTGCTGCTGCTGTTGCTGCAGCAGCTGCAGCTGCAGCGGCTGCAGCTGCTGCCGCGGGGGGTCGCCGAGGGCCGCGGCGTCGGCCGACGCAGCTGCCGCGCCAGCGGCCGCGCTGGGGGCTGCCGCGGCGGCGCAGGCCGCAGGCACCGCCCCCGCGCCTCAGGGCCCAGGCGCGGCCGGCGCCGCAGTCGCCACGCGGCCGGCCGCGGCAGCCGCCGCCGCGGCCACGGCGCCGCTGCCGGCAGCCCTGGCGGCGAGGCCGGCGGCGCGGGCCAGGGCCGCCACGGCCTCCCAGAGGCCCGCGGCGGCCGCGGCCTCGCCGGCGGCGGCGGCCGCCCGAGGTGCAGTAGCAGCGGCGGCGCCAGCAGCGCCAAAGGCGCCAGCGGCCGCCGCAGCGCCGGCAGCGCCGGCGGCGGCCACGGCACCGGCGGCGCGGCGGCGACCGCGGCGGCCCGCGCGTCGGCGTCCGCGCAGCGGCCACGGCGGAGGCCGTGGCCACGTCGGCGCCTGCGGCGCAGGCGCCGACGTGGCCGCAACAGCGGCCCCGGCAACCGCAGCGGCCGCAACCGCCGCGGCGGAGCCAGCGGCGGCGGCGGCAGCGCGGGCGGCGACCGCGGAGGCGGCGCCAGCCGGCGGGGCGGCGGCGCCAGTGGGCGAGGCGGCGGCGCCACCCAGCGCGGCCGCGGCGGCAGCGCCGGGCGGCCAGCGCGAGGGGGCGCCAGGGCAGGGGGCGCCGCAGCACCAGCGGCGCCAGCGGCGCGGCCGGCGGCGCGACCAGCGGCCGCACGTCGCAGCCGCCGCCGCCGCGCCGCGCGCGACTCCATGGCCCGGGGACGAGGGCCTGGAGGGAGGAGCGGGGCTCCCTCCAGGCCCTCGCCGGCGGCCAGACCAGGAACAGAGGGGCAGGCCCGGGAAGCGCAAGCCGGCTCGGCTCCCTCGAGCCACAGCGGGTTGAGCCAGGGGGGCTTGAGCCAGGGGGGGCTACGGACGCTGGTGGGGATACCCGAAGCGTCTAGATTGGAAGGAAATCCAACGCGAGGGCCCGATTATTTCACACATTATGAAAAGTCCAGCGCGAATGCGCGATCGCTTAATGCACTGCGAGGACATACAACCGTTGCCGTTGTAGGTCGGGGGCAAGGGGCGCAGTTTGGTGACCACACACTCTCACTGATAGAAAAACAGGGTGCGAGCCCCGAGAGGAGCACTTTGGTCACCTGGGGGGTCAACAATGCTTATTATTTCGAAGTGAGTCATCAACAACAGCAACAACAATCAGTTTACCCGAATGCTCGATGCTTAGACTTGCAGCATGCATCCATCATGATAGCTCCTCCCTCAGGGGGATATTTTCTTGCACATAGGGGCCCCAGATTCCCTTACCCACCAGATCTCCCGCCCGAGGAGGTCTTGACAACACCTCGTCCCAGGCACTTCAACATATCAAACCCGGATGGCACAGCGCCGTCGCGATCGCCCTGCCCATGTCTTGCTTCTAGGTATCACCACGCCCGAATGGCCCAAAACCTATGGGAGAGGCCCCACAACCTCTGGGAGAGTCCCCGGAGCCCCTCGGACAGCCTCTGGAGCCCTTTGGAGTGCTAGAAAGATTTGGGGGCATCTTGAAGAAGGCCTCAAGACATGTTTGGAAACATGCTTGGATCGGAGGAGCTTCCGGGCCTCGGAGAAATAATCATAATAATAATAATAATAAGAGACATAATAATACAAAGAGGATGAGGAAGAAGAGGGAGCAGGAAGAGGAGGAGGAGGAGTAATGAGGACGGAAGAAGAAGGGAGAGGAGGAGGAGGAGGAGGAGGCATGGTATGGTATGGGGATGGGCGGACAAGAGTCCGCCTGCCGTCACCGCGGCCGGAAAGGGGCCAGTCGCCCTCGAGCGGCAAGGCCTCTGTGGCCTCGGCCTCACGCTCAGCCCGCCTGCATTCCTGCGCCCATTCAACCGCAGAATCGGGCGAGGCAAACCCATGCAGGCGAGCAACTCGCCCCGGGTCCAGCACGGGGACCGAGACCCCGTACTGGTGGAAGCTGGCGGGGTCCTGAGAACGGCCGGCCACAGGGCCCCCCGGGGGCCCGCCAGCGGGCCACAGCGAAGGCCCAACCTCCACCGAGGACCCAACGGCGGCCGCGGTGCGCCAGGCTGGCGAGGCGGGCGTCTCGGGGATCGTTCGAGATCCCGTGGGCCTGGCGGCCGCCGCTCGCAGGGCCCTCAGGCGGGTGGGCCTCGTCGTAGAACCTAGCAGCCCCAGCCTGTCGCAGGTCCGCGCAGATGCCTGATACAGTCGGACCCAGGCCAGAAAAACATTCTTCAAGAATGTGAGACACTCCGTCGGCCCAAACACACAGAACCTCCAATGGTACCCTCCCCAGGATGCACAAGAACATCCAGCAACCACGAAAAACAGTAAGGGGTACCCTCCCCGAACGGACGACTGACCATCCTCTCCGGCGCGCGGAGCGCGCCAGGGGCGGCGCCGGAAGCGCCGCCATAAGGAGCCCAGCGCAGATCCAATAATTCAAAGCGGATCTCCGAAACATTACGCTTGTGCAGTTTACTTGTCGTCGAGAGACCCTGGGATCCGACGTTGCGGACAAAAATACAACCTCGCGAACAATCACGACGGAAGCCCCAGGACCCCATTATTCTGCTGCACTCTCATCGATTTATGTATGTTTGTCGCGGGGCCCGAAGCCAAGCGCAAACGCCCAGTGTGAAGACACCGCAGCATCCAGATCTCTGGTAAGCTCGATCCTCGAAACTTGGGCGGCGCGGGGATGACATTTGGTGGTGGAAGAAATGTGCACTTCTCGGACCCCAAAGGGGGCCCTACAGGACCCCTTCACGGGCTCTGAAGGGTCCCTCTTCTGCAGTCCTCGCCCCCCCCCCCCGCCATTATTTATCGTCATGACTCATTGCGCGACGCCCAACATATTCCCAGCTTCGATCCTCCGTGGGATGGGGGGGCGCGGCGGCGGGGGTCCCCGCCGAACAGCCCGTGCCGGAGCCCGCGGACCAGGGTGCAGGCCTGGAGGGGCGACCCCCCGAGGCCGCCGGCATTCCCTCTTGGATGGATGCGCTGGCCCCAGGAGGCTCCAGCGAGGAGGGGCGAGAGCGAGGGCGAGGAGAGAGGACGGGGGAGGAATAGCTGGGAATAGCTGCAGAGCGATATCGAGGACGAGGATGGCGCGGCGCGCAGTCGCGCGGCCACCGCGCGGAACACGCGCGCGCGCCCTCGCTCTCGACCGACACGGACGACGAGGACGGGCCCCCCGCCCCTCCGACATCATCCTCCCCACTACCCTCCTCCGCGCAACGCTCGAGGTCTCACCATCGCCCACCCCTCGAGGCCTGACCTCGCCCACAGGTGGGGGTCCAGGGGGCTGGGCGGGGCCTGCACGCCTGGCATCAAGCACAAGCCGTCTGGGCAGCGTCCAAGTACGCAGCCTCACGGATCGACTTCGACGGGCCCTTTGTGGGATGCAATCCCTTGGCGACCCTGGCCAAGACCTCCTTCCCCTTGGCCGTCGGCTCTTGACACGGCTCGAGCAGGGTAACAAAGTTAAATGTGGCATGGCGGCCACACGTGGTGCAGACAGAATACCCACCACCGCGGGATGTCACACACTTTATGGGAGGTGTGGGCAGACCTGCCCAGCAGGAGCCTTCCCCAAACCTCCATGACCACCGCCTCCCCAAACCGAAGCGTCCCACCCCTCTCAGTGGCAGCAGGAACACGAGGAGGGCCAGGGCTAAGGGCGAGGGCCGTGGCGTCCAGACGACAATCGTCAACCAACAAAGCACAGAACGAGCAACGCCACTTGTCGCCACATTTCTCATTTCGACCGGTGGATGCCTGGAGGCAGAGAGTTCGAGTGGAAAGCTGGGGGTAAAGTCCCCGATCCTATCTCACCTCAGCACCTTCTCCGAGCCAATGCTGCGGATGCTCGCCCTCGCTCGGGCCCTGGCGAGAGCTGCAGTCGAGGAGGAGGAGGAGGAGGAGAAGGAGGATGGCAAGAAGGAGAGGGAGGCGGAGGAGGAGGAGGAGGAGGAAAAGGAGAAGGAGGAGGTAGGGGAGAAGGAAGAGGAGGACGAAGAGGAGGAGGAGGAGAAGGAGGACTACTGCCACAACTTTTTTGTTTGTTCAATACCTCTTGCGTTTGATCACGTCGTCATCAGTTATGTTGACTTCGTCTTGCCATATTGGGCAACAGCATGTACATCCAGCGGTTGTGACTACTAAGTTTTCCGGACCCCCTAGATACAGGGTGAGGCCCCCACCTAACTGACTCAGGCCAAACAAAATGTATTGCGCCAGCCTGCTTCTACACGGGTTCGTCCTAAACCCGTAACATAAAATAAACATAACAGTAATACGAATAACAACAATGAAAATAACAACACCAATAACACATATCAGTAATAAAAGCAATAGTCAAAATAATACGACTAACAAAATTGATAATAATGATAATAACGATAATACTAATAATACAAATAATAACGAAAGTCCCGAGGCAGTGGAGGTTCGAGGTGAATCGTAAAACCCTGGGTTGCAGCCCAAGAATTGCCGCTATGATTGCGTTCTCAATCTGCAATGCGCATCATCCAATTCCAACCGTGTTCAGCTTTACTCAAATATTTCTCTTTACGCGTGTTTTCCTTAGTTGCCGGCCCCCTCTTCCTTTTTTCGGGATCCCCAGAATATCAGGGTGCGCCCCCTTTTTTAAGCACTGTTCCGTGGGCTTTACCCAAAAGGGCATGTCGCAGGCCAGCCTTCATGTGCCCGGCTTCATCTTATCATACACGCCATTCACATGCTCTCCAATGTTCGATCTGAATATCAACTTGTGATTCGCAAATCCGTGGGGGGCCGTGTTTTTGTTACATAGTGCCCCTGCTCGGGCGAATCGCGAGGTGGCACCCGCCAGATTGAAATTCACCGGCGGCGGCGACGGTGATTCGCGCCGGCGCCCAGCCGCCAGCAGGAAGGCGACAGGCAACACAGACTGGGGGAAGGGAAGGGGGGCGGGAGGCAAAGGCGGCAGTAGCAGGGATCGTGATCCAGGGCGACACTTGTTTGAAATGAAGAAAAACTGCTGTCGGCGCTCGCCCCCGCACTTTCCGCGCTCTTGTGTGTCGAACCGATGCGTTTCCTTTGCCCTGGCCGCAGCCAGGGGCACCAGCTGCCTCGCTGGCCCGCGAGCAAGGCGGGCTGGACGAAAGGGGTGCGTGGCCAAGAGGAGATTTGCCCAGCAGCTCACATTGCTGATCTCCCGAGCGCCCCCTGGAGTCGAAAGCGGCCATGCATCAAGGACTGGCCCCTCGGCGGGGTGACCGGAACAGGCTGCGCGTAGCAGTTTTCGCAATCCCCCCTTTCCTTCTCCAGCCTTTCGTCCGACCCGAGCAAGGCGGGCAGTGGTCTCTGTAGTCGACACGACAGCGACGACGACCACAACGACGACGGCGGCGACGACGACAACGACAACGACGACGACGACGACCACGACGACGACGACGACGAAGGCGAGGACGAGGAGGACGGACGAGGACGAGGATGAGGACGACGGCTGGCGGACAGCAGACGGCGACGGCGGCGACGACGACGACGCACTGCGGATGCCTGCCCTATGGGGGGGGGGTGCTGCGCGGGCCCGCTGTAGTGTACTCGACGATGACGACGGTGACGACCGACGACGACCGACGATGACGACGACGACCGACGACGACCGACGACCAACGACGACCGACAACACGACGAAGACGAAGACGAAAACGACGACGACGACAACGACGACGACGACGACGACGACCGACGACGAACACGACGACGACGACGACGGCGGCGGCGGCGACACCGACGTCGACGTCGACGACGAGGACGACGACGAGGACGAAAACGACGACGACGACGACGCGACGACGATGACGGCAACGACGACGACGACGACGACGGCGACGGCGACGACGACGCACTGCGGATGCCCATGGGGGGGGGGCTGCGCAGGCCCGCTGTACTCGACGACGACGACGACGACACAGACGAAGCAGAAGACGACGACGACAACGACGGCACCGACGCGACGACACCTGAGAGGGGGAAACAAATCGCCTCGGATGAGCACGATCCTTTTAACAACTTCTATACGAAAGGCAATCGTTGTTAGGCTGTCATGCAGGGGGGTACGCGATCCCCTCGGCGGCGCCAGCGACGACCTCCTGGCGCGCGCGGTTTCAAAAAATGTGTCGCGCCCCGCGGGGTCTATTCATCAGCCCCAGGGGGGGGGCGGGGGGCGGCATGTGTTAATCACAAGCTGACATTAAGACGACTGTGGTGCATGAACTAGCCCTTCTTAGTACAGCTAGCCTGAACCAACAAATCTGGGAGTGCTTTGGCAAAGGGGGATGTACTGCCTTACTTTTGGGGCGGGCAGGGGTACCAAGGTACACAGGCTTTGCTGTTGTCGTACTGCCTGGCGGGCGCAAACTCTAAGGCACTCTTCTGTTCTTTCCGCCTCTCTTTGCCCGCCGAATGAATATGTGTTACCCTAGGCTTCAGTCGGCCTCGTATTTTTCCTTAGCCATAATAGGACGCCACCATCATCCGATCTAGGTCTCCTCCTTTTTTGGCGTTGCGCGGAGCAAGAAGGAGGAGGAGGTGGAGGAGGAGGAGGAGGTGGAGGAGGGGGAGGAGGAGGTGGAGGAGGAGGAGGAGGAGAAGGAGAGTGAGGAGAAGGAGAGTGAGGATGAGATGAGAACGAGGAGGAGGAGGAGGAGGAGGAGGAGGAGCAAGCTCGCGTCCTACACTTCTCCTGGTCCGTCCTGCTCCATGCCCCTTCTCCTCCGCCTCACTCTGGCCGACTCCGGTTCCCACTTCTCTGGAACCAGCCACTCCGACTCCCGACTCGGGCCCTGGCCCGCGCGCGCTGCCCTCTCAGAGCTGGCCCGTCGGACCGACGGTGCGCAGTCTGCTCAGCTCCTCCGCCTCGTGACGAGGCGGACGGCGACACCGAATGCCTCTCGGAGCTGCTTGTCGGTCAGTGCGCCGTGAGATGCTCCAGAATCCGTGGCAGCCGCTGAGGAGGCGGAGGAAGACGGGATAAGGAGGGGCTCTGGGGAAGGCGGCGGCTTCTGGGGAAAGGGAACGACACCAGAATTCCCAGCACGCGTCCGCAATCTCATCCGCCTCCCCAGACCTGACCTCCCCCTGTGCCCGTGCTCCTGCTCGTGGTGGTTCATGCTCCACCTCATGTCCTCATTCACCTCGTCCTTCTCATCCTACTCCATCTGTTGCACTTACTCGTTACCATCGTCCACACACTCTCCCACTCACTCCACACATCCCATTCTACCTTACTCCTCGTCTACGTTTGCTTCTCACCCTCATCTCCCTCAACCCTCCTCATTGCGCTCCTCCCGGGAAACCCACAAGGTGCCGACAACGCTACTCCCCCGACCTCTCCCGGGATGCGTTCCAGCGGTAGCGAACAGAGACTCCCGGTATCCCCCAAGAGGCGAAAACGAGGGAGCAGGGGGTCCCTCTCCCATCACTACCGCCCTTCTCCCGCTCCCCAGCGCGGTGCAGCAGCAGCAGCAGCAGCAGCAGCAGCAACAGGCAACAGCACGGGCACCGCGACGGAGGAGGGCGGCGCGGCGCGCCTCGCGTCCCTCCCGCCGGCTGCCTGGGAGCGGGGCGGGGCGGGGCGGCCCAGCGGCGCCCCCCGCGGGTCGGCCGAGGGCCCTGTTGAGGTCCCGGTGAGGTGGGCCCCGCCGCGGGCGCGGGCGCGGCCCCCTCCCCCTTCCCCTCCTCCTCCCTCTCCCCCTTCCCTTCCCCACGGTGCTCGGTGATGCGGACTGTTCTGATCATGAAGATCTGGGGTCTCGACCCCCCGCCTGGCCAACGCCACGGGGAATGAGAAAACACCAGGAGGCAAGGGAGAACGAGGAGGGGACGAAACCGTAATTGATGATGCACCTGCAGGAGAGGAGGCGGGGGCTGTAGGCGCCTGTGAGCGCTGGCGGCGGTGCGGTGCTCGTACAGGCGTGGCCCGAGCCCCACCTTGCCATCGCTCGGACGTCCATTCCCGGCTTCGTGCGTGTATTTTGCGCAGGATGATCTCAACTGCTCCTCGATGGTCCTCGCCGAGAAAAAATGCACACGTCCGAGCGATGCCGAGCCACTCCCCCTGGAGGGGGGAAGGGAGGGGCCCACCTCCTATGTGGCAACTCATGGGAGCATCGACGCTCGTCGACGCTAAATCGACGCTAGTCGACGCCAAATCGGCGCTATCTCATCGACTCCCAGACGCCAATACCGACGACCACCGACGCTAGAGACGGAACTGAGAGGGCCAATTCCCATGATTTGTTACAGAACACTCCGGCTCGCTCCTCCTGGAGCGAGGCCGCCGCCCTCGTCCGGAGCGTGGGGAAGGCGAGGGCTACGGGTGCAGAGCGGCGCGGCCTTGAATGAAGGGGCTGTGCGGGCGGGGGGGAGGAGGGGGAGGGAACACTGCGGCGCTACAGATGGCCCGTATCAGAAGGATGCGCGAGAAATATGCAAGGGCCTTGGACGCCCATTCCGAAGCCTGTCGAGCGGGGCGCGGCCAACGAAAGTGGCCAAGGATGGGTCGAAGGGGCAGGGATGCACGGGTACCCTTGGGACAATTGCCGGTCCTTGCTATGCGGGTTGACTGTAGGTGAACAAGGTTGGGCGCCCTGAGAATGGCACGGGTGGAGTGAGCGCGAGCGCGGGAGATCGGCGTCAAGGGGGCAGGTGAGGAGGAGAGGTGGTCCCAGCGAGGCCACCGCCTCCCGAGGGGGGAGTGGTAGCCTCCTCGGTCCTTCTTGTGGCGCGGCCGCCTGGTCCACGACCGCCAGAGGGATCCCCCCCTCCTCTTCCTGCCTCTCCTGCTCCTCCTCTTCCTCCTCCTCCTCCTTGTGCAAAGGTTCCGTGGATTCCCGTGGTCTAAATACGCGAAGTTGTGCTTTGGAGTGATTCAGGATTGTCGGAGCGCCGGTGCGCAACAGCTATTTTGATTCGCGGCGTTGATGGTGCTCTGGCACGTTACGGGGTCGCCAAAACGCAACAGCCTCGGTCCCATCCACTAGGGCGGGGCCCCGCGCGCAGAGGCTCGCACACGAGCGCGAAGGGCGGCCCCTGGGCTGGCGCTGCCCAGTCTCGGCACAGCCCAAGGAGAGCCCCAAGACGGCCCCAGAGGACCCCAGGACGGCACGAGAGAGCACCAATCGAGTAGGGGATCGACTGCAGCATTACCCCAGAATTGGTGTTTCGCCGAATCCATGAGCAATTATACGTCTTGCTTTTTAGATTCGACGAAGAAATCAAATTTGGGGTTAATCACTTCTGTAGTCGATCCCCTACTCGAACCATGCGAAACCCGGCAGGGTGAACCCAAAAATACATTTCGAGCCCAATGCCCCAAGACGACCCCCAAGACCACCAGCAAGCCCCCCAGAGATCCCGAAGAGGCCTCCAGAAAAACTCGCTGGTCGCGGCGCTGGCGATCGCGTAGTGCGATCGAAGCCTACGCCAGGTCGCAGCAAGGCGCATTGCGCACCAGAAAACGGTGAACTCCAGAACAACTTTGCAGGACAGCGGGCGCAACAGTGCAAAAGCGGTACAGGCGCCCGTCGCGCCACGGGCGGGAAGAACAGTGAGCTCTGAAATGCATGCGCACGCTGTCTCGGCAGCGGGGGGTGCGGGACGGAAGGAATGGTACAAGAGAAGGACAAGGAATCAACTGCCTATGAACAATTGTCCTGGCGCCTCCTGGCGCCCCAAATTGCCATGCATCGAAAGAAATGCCTGGCGATAGAGCCGAAACCGGCTGCATGCTGGAGTGTTCGTAATCCCCCTCGTCGCCCACCCCCGGTATTGCCCCATACAGCCCTCAAGTGGCACCCAGAGGCACCGAGGTGCCCCCCAGGAGGGCTCCAAAATGGCTCAAGCGCCTAATCGAACAGGGCGCTTGCGACATGGCCGATGGTCGCGGGCGCATGCGTTCACGTTAGGCACGGAGCAGTGTCCACCGTGGTCAAGCCGTCGAGTGGGCGGGCTGGCTGGACGACGTAACGTGCGCACTGGCAACACAAGAACGTCATCTTACCACGGGACGACGACAAGCGCGTTCCTAGCGTTCCTCTCTTGGCTTCCTCATCATCCTATTCCCACTCCGTCTCAAACTCCCCATCATCATACACAATGGGGTATGATCCGCATCCTCTGTCTGCTCTTCCGCCTCCTCCTCCTGCTCCTCTTCGTGACCCAAAATCGCCGTCGTAATAGACCGCCGCGCTAGTCTCCAATAATTCAAACGGGCGGGGGCCGCCGAGTGTTACCGTTAGCACCCCATTCATTGATGAATGCTTGGGGGAGTTGCTAATCTGCAGGAATCCTGCAAGAACATGCGGGGATTTTCCAAGGACGCGCAGGAATCCTCAATCATCCTGGAGAAATCATGTGAATCCTGAAAAACTCTCAGGAAAACTCTGCAATCCGGAGGGCCACCCAGGAACCTCTAAGAATCCTCAGGAACGCTCCAAAGTTCCCACGAACCTTCAAGAACCCCAGGCATCCTCACGCGTCAGAAACCTGCTTAATTCAACGCCAAATCCCTGATCACGTTTCAACGCATATCCAAACCTCCCCCTATATCGCTCCGAATTGCAACTCCTGATCAGAAATGCTAACTGTTCTGCTCCCGTGAGGCGTAGACCAGACAGGGAAATCCCACCAGCCCTTCAGGGCGTGAGTGGTTTAGCGGGTTTACTCTTCCAACCCCGTTTCTGGCCCTTCGGGGATCGGTCGCCCCTCCCCCGACCCCCCCCCTGGACGAGGACGGGGCGCCCCGCAACCGATGAGAGCGTTCAAGAAGGGCCTGGCGAGAAGGCCACACTCATTGATCGTGGTACGGTTTTGGGCACAGTTTGGACCAGGGGGGAGGTACTAATTAGGCCCCACCCCTTTCGTTGATAGATCTTGGCCCCAAGATAGTCCCCAAGGGTGGCGCAGGACTGCCCCGAAAGGGCCCCAAGAGGGGCCCAGTAGGCCCCTACGCGGCCCCAAGAAGCCCCCGAGAGGCTCCCAAGAGACCCTCAAGAGGCCCAAAGAGGGGTTCTTGAGGCACCTGAGACGCTCCACAAGGCCACGGGGACCGCCAAGAGGTCACCCAAACGCTCCAATAGGACCCCAAGAAACTCTGAAGAGACATCGGAAGAAGCTCCGAGAGACATCCTGGCCTTTGGCCTTTCTGCTCGCCCTCCTCTTGCTCCCCTCCTCTTCGTCCTCCTCTTCGTCCTCCTCTTCGTCCTCCTCATCATCAGCCTGTTCCTCCTTCTACCTCCTCCCTCCTCCCTCCTCCCCATCCCCCTTCCCCCCCTCCATCCTCATCTTGCTCCTGCTCCGATTTCTCCTCCATTCTCCTCCTCTTCGGGTAGGGCGGCCTCCCACGCCCTTTTTTCCCCTGCATGCTCCTCCACATCTCTGATCAGGGCAACTCGCCTGGGCGTTGTTTCTGGATTGGCTGATGGGGTTATACGAGACGTCCAGAATATCACCCCCACCCCCGTACAGATTCAGCACCCGTATTCCGAACTCGGCCCGTCATTACTCATACCTCTGGACAGGATAACATAATATGATATGACCATTTGTGTTGGAGATAGCGAACTAGATTGTACATAGTAGAGAAAACATGATGTAACCCCTGCGCCCAACCATATACATTCCATTTGCACCCCGCTTGACCTCGCATAGTTTCTTCGGCGGTCACGAAGGGCATTCCTGTCCCAGGAGTAGCACCCCCCCGCAGGCACTGCCGGCGTTATTCTGCACCCGTATCCCGACATGTTTCCCCTTTCCCTGGGCAGTAGAAAGCTGGTTGTCGGAGCAACAATGGCATGAGTTGGTCTGTAGATATGATCAGACAAGAGACGAGGGCGCGTCCTTTTCAAATTGTGGTTCTCGCTCGAGACATCTCGTAGTTAGACTTAGTTATGACGAGCTGAAACTTAACTTCTGCACCAACCACGCGGATGGAGGGCGGTCCTTTGCCAATTGAGAGGGTTCTAGTGGAGGACTCCCATGGGGATGGGATCCTCTTTGACCCTATCAGAACCCAATCGGATTCGGTTGGGATAGTACGGGGTTCGTATGGCAATCCTCTGGGGCTCTCAGTGGAATATAACTGAATGTTGTTTCACGTTTCATTTCGTATCGTACCACACCGATCGGCCCGCGCGCGCCGCTCTGGAGCACCCCTTTTACTTGATGGAACCCCAGAATCCTTCAACTATCGTGCAATCATCTTCCGGAAAATTTCAAAGGCCCCGCAAGAATCTTCAGACATCCCTCGAGAATCATTGTTCTATCCTCGCGAAGCTTCAGACAATCCCCAGGAATCCTAACGAACGCACATGCGTCCTTCAGGACTCCTTTGAGGAAACTTAGAATCGGCGGAAACCACAAGGTATCCCCCAATGAGGGCTTTGGGTTCGGGATATCCTTTCCAGGCGAGGATGGGGAGGGGGGGGATTCGATAATCGTAACCACGAGATGCCCCCTCCTCGTGCTGCCGCGGCACCTCCTCGTCCTCTTTTCCCCCCCTCTTCCTACCCGCGCTCGCCCCCAACTCTAGTTTGCAATCGTGCCCTGCCGTCAAGGAGACCCCTGCGATACATGGTCGCAGCGAAACGCAGGGGGAGCCACCCGCCTGCCAGCCTGTACGCGGACGACGCCTCCGACGGCCTGGGGGGGGAGGGTCCTCCTCATCACAGTCTGTGATCATCACCACCACCATCACCACCATCATCACCATCATCACCATCATCACCATCATCACCGTCGCCATCGCCACCACCAACACTACCTGTGGGATTACCACAGCGGGGGGCCCGAGCTGGCTGGACGAAGCAGGCGGGCGGGCAGGCGGGAAGGGACGGAGCGGAGACCGCAAGCGGGGAGCAGGCGGGGAGGAGAAGGCGAAGAATCTTGAACAACGGCGGGCATTCATTGTGCGAACCGCATGCGGATTATATCGACGAAGCCAGACCATACCAACATAACACACCATGACAGAACACAGGAGGCGAAGGGATAAAAGACCAGGCGGAGGGAGAGGGGAGCAACTGCAAGCAGACGGCCCAGAAACTTCGACTCTCGACACGTCGAAGACTCGAGCCTCGCCAGCCCCCGCCCTGCCGCGTGCAGACCCGAGACGTGCCGCCGACAGCTCGCGCCCTTCGACCCTTCGACCCTTCGGCCACGCGGCCCTTCGACCTTCAAACCCTCGAACCGTCGATCTTCGACCCCTCGATGCCTCGAGACTCGCAAGCCCCCGCCCTGCCACGTGCCGGCCCGAGGCGGCGGCGCAAGCGACAGCAGAGCGCGCGCGCGGGCCCGCCTGCAGAGGCGGCGGTGGCAGCCGATGGGCTCGCGCAAGGGCAGGCGCCCGCGCAACTCGTGGGAGGGGGGAGGGGAGGGGGGGCGACGAGGGAGGCGAACTGGCGAGTTGGGGGCTCAGACCGAGGCCTCGGATATCCATCGAAACCCGAGACCACACTCGGGCAGGTTGTACGTACCCAGGCTCCCTGTTCCCAGGGCTTGGGCTTGGACTTCACGACTGCGCTCGGCACAGCGACGAGGGAGGAGAAGGAGGAGGGGGAGAAAGGGAAGGAGGAGGAGGAGGAGGAAGAGGAGGAGGAGGAGGAAGAGGGAGGGGGAGGAGGAAGGGAGGAGAGAGAGAGAGAGAGGGTTGAGGACAAGCCAGGTGCGCTCGCGCCATATCCGACATTCTACCCCTCCCACCCATCCCTTCGAATTGCGCTGATTGTTTCTCCATCCGCCGGCGCGTGTCATAGCGGACCTTGAACTCCCAAGGAGACCCCATCGTGTTATGGAGGAGAGTGAAAAACGAGGAAGATGCTGATGACGAGAACGACCAGGATGGTCGGCTGGCAAAGCAAACGAAACAATCCAACTTCGAGGATCCAGGATCAAACTTCTTCGGCGAGGTGGAGTTGGGACATCCAAACCTTTGCACTTGCTCCGCCCTCGACGACATCCACGCCTTGACCCGCTCCTCCGCTGCCATCCCAGGCTGCTCCCTCGCCTCGCACATTGCTCCTCCTCGATATCCTCCTCCTCCTCCTCCTCCTCCTTGCCTCTCTTCCTCGCCGCTCCCCTTACTCTTCCTCACTGCTCCTCACTCCTCACTCTTCCTCCTGCTCCTCCTCCTCCTCCTCCTGTTCGTCCTCGTCCTCCTCCTCCTCCTCCTCCTCCTCCTCCTCCTCCTCTTCCTCCTCCTCCTCCTCCTCCTTCCTCCTTCCTCACTCCTCACTCCTGGCTCCTCGCTCCTGGCTCCTCGCTCCTCTCTCCTCCTCCTCCTCCTCCTGCTCCTCCTCCGCCTCGTCCTCCACCACCTCCTCCTCCTCCTTCTCCTCCTCCGGCTCCTCCTCCCCCTCCTCCTCCTCCTCCTCCTCCTCACTCCTCACTCCCCACTCCCCACTCTGACTGGACTACTGCACTGACCACTGTGACTGCAACTCCCTGCAACTACACTGCACCCGTGCTCGCACGAGAATGCTGACACGTGTTTTTCACACCTGCCGCACCCCACTGCAGTGTGCGCGTCTGGAGGCTAAACGCTTGAGCGTCGACCTAAAGCTTGGCAGGCTTCTCGCACGAATGGCTTGGGATCGAGCCAACAGGCTTCTCGCACTCCCCTCTCCTCACTCCTCACTCCTCACTCCTCCTCCTCCTCCTCACTCCTCGTCCTCGTCCTCACTCCTCCTCCTCCTCCTCCTCCTCCTCCTCCTCCTCCTCCTCCTCCTCCTCCTCCTCCTCCTCCCCCTCCTCCTCCTCGTTCTCGTCCTCCTACCCCTCCTCCCACTCCTCGTCCTCGTCCTCGTCCTCGTCCCCGTCCTCGTCCTCGTCCTTGTCTTCGTCCTCCTCCTCGTCCTCGTCCTCATCCTCGTCCTTGTCCTTGTCCTCGTCCTCGTCCTCGTCCTCGACCTCCTGCTCCTGGTCCGGGTCCGGGTCCTGCTCCTGCTCCTCCTGCTCCTCCTGCTCCTCCTCCTCCTCCTGCTCCTCCTGCTCCTCCTGCTCCTGCTCCTGCTTGCTCGCGCCGCCGGCTCCCGAGTGGGACCGGCACCTCCATCGCACAGGAGGACCGACGGCGAAGCCGGAAGGGCGTGTCAGCTCATTAATCTAATTGCATGTAAAGATTTGACAAACTGAAGCACGTTCCCATCGGGGCCGTGTGAAATTCGATGCGCAGGCTAGCTCCGGCTCGCGGAGAAAATAAATCGCGCCTGATTTGCAGCACCAAGTATGTTGGGAAACAAGGATGCCGCCACACAGTCGAATATAAGGGTGCCGATACCCAGTCCAAATGCCCAACGCTTATGAGGACACGCTCTGGGCGCAATGCCGCCACGCAGTCACCCTGCCCAGCGCTTATGAGAATAGGATTGACAGACTGGCTGACTGACAAACTGGCTGGTCTGGGACAGAATGTAGCGATGCCTCTCGCGAGCGTCTGCTGAAATCGTTACAACGCGTGGGCAGCAGCAGCAGCGGCAGGAAGGGGAGGCAGGCAAGCGGCAGGAGGAAGAGGAGGAGGGGGGGAGAGAGAAGCCTGAGCCATAACGACTACGGAAACACGCCTTGAGCCATGCTCCTGCTCCTGCTCCTCCTCCTGCTCCTCCTCCTCCTGCTCCTGCTCCTGCTCCCTCCTCCTCCTCCTCCTCCTCCTCCTCCGCCCTCCGCCTCCTCCTCCTCCTCCTCCTCCCCCTCCTTTTCCTCCTCCTCCTCCTCCTCCTCCTCCTCCTCCTCCTCCTCCTCCCCTCCTCCTCCCCCTCCTCCCTCCCCCCCCCCTTCCCCTCCTCCTCCTCCTCCTCCTCCTCCTCCCTCCTCCTCCTCCTCCTCCTCCTCCTCCTCCTCCCCTCCGTAGCCATTTTGGCTCAAGATGCTTTGTTCCACAGGGGAACACGTGGATACCGCTAGTCCGCGGCCAGTGCCAGGGTTGCTCATCAGTCCGACAGTGATTTCAGGGGATCACGATCCCGTCGCTAGCAGCGCGGCGGTACAAGCCCCTTTCCTTCATCAGAGCCTGCCATGGCGCCGCCGCAGCAGCCTCGCACGAGCTACACCATGTGCCCGACCCCGTCTTGCCGTGCTGGCAAGCAGTGGGATTGGAACTGGCGTATTATCAAGAATGGCGGAGCTTGCTCGGTGTGTGGACAGGTGCAGCAGCTATACTCTCCGCAGAAGAAGAAGGACAAGCCCAAGGGAGGACCGCCGAAGGGGCCGGGGCCAGCCGTGCCCGCCGCTTCATCTCCTGCGATCTTCAGCCCCTGGGGTAAGGCGAAGCTCATCAACCAGCTTGAGGCCCTCGTGCAGCAAGATGCATCGGTTACGGCTTCAGTTCTCGCCATCAAGCAGGCAGTTGAGACGCCCGCATTGCCGAGGTCGCGCACACCCTTGGAGCAGCTCCAGTCAACGGAGGCCAAGGCGAAGCAGGCGGCCACCAATGCACACAACTTTCTCACGGAGATTTCCAACTTGGAGACGCGCCTCAAGCAGGCGCGCCAGGACTACGATCAGGCCATGGAGGAGCTCGTGGACGCTGAGGAGGCCCATGAGGCTGCGGTCCTGGCCTACAACAATGTTCGCGGCCAGACGGCTTCTGAGGTCAAGCCCGAGTCTGTGCCCGATTTCTTGGCAGCATATGAAGATAAGCTCAAGAGCATTTCGATTGAGGAGTACGAGGATGGAGAGGCCAAGGACAAGCTGCAGACGGCCCTCACGGCGATGGATGAGGCCAAGGACCAGGCCGCGGCGGTCATCCACGCCGTCCAGAAGGCCCTCGAGGGGGTCAAGCTGGCTGCAGCGCAGGCGCCCCTCAAGAGGCGGCGCGTGGTGGAGGTGGTGTCTGGCCCAGAGGCGGCGGCTTCGGCAGTCGGCGCTGAGGGTTCGCTGGGCCCAGCCACCAAGGCTGAAGGCGGCGCCGAGGTGGGTGCCGCTACTGGCACCGAGGGAGCCAAGGCGGCGGCCGCGGCAGCAGCCCCAGCAGCAGCCCTGTCGGATGCTGAGGCCAAGGCCCGAGCCTCCAAGGTCAAGGCTGCACGGGAACGGCTCGAGCAGTCCGCTGCGAAGGCCTGCCCAGTCGCGAGGTCCCCTGCGGATGTCGGCGTGGCAGCTGCCCCTCCTGGCCCTGGCGGCGGCGGCGATGGTCGGCCTCCACCTCGCGCCAAGGCCCCTCCTCCGAAGAGGGGGTAGCACCACGCTGGATGTTGTGGATATCGACCCCCTTCAGGACATGAAGTGCAGCGACGACGATTGCTTTGGAAACGATCTGGAGCAGCATCATTCCCTTGCGCCTAGCCCTATGCAAGGCGCGCATGCAGACATTCACCTGGCCCGCCTATCGGCGACAGGAGTGAGCTGCGTAGCATCAGCGACGTCGGAGTTGGCACCTTCGACCTCGGCCTCAGGCAGTCCCCAGCTGGCCCGCTCTTCGGAGATGGGGGTACGAGCGAGGTACGAGGCATCGTCAGCTCCGTGGAGGCCGACCCCGTCGACCTCGAGCCCAGGCATCCTCCATCTGGCCCGCTCTTCGGGGGTGGAGGCACGTGCGAGCTGCGTGGCATCTTCAGCGACAGCGGAGTTGTCGTCTCTGGCTGCGGGGTCAGGCAGCCCCCATCTGGCCCGCTCTACGGGGGTGGGGACACGAGCGAGCTGCGAGGCATCGTCAGCTCCGCCGAGGTTGGCTCCATCGACCTCGAGACCAGGCATCCTCCATCTGGCCCGCTCTTCGGGGATGGAGGCACGTGCGAGCTGCGTGGCATCTTCAGCTCCGCTGGAGTTGGCTCCGTCGGCTCCGAGCACAGGCACCCTCCATCTGGCCCGCTCCTCGGGGATGGAGGCATGTGCGACATTGGAGTTGGCGTCATCTACCTCGGTATCTTGCAACCCCCATCTGGCCCGCTCTTCGGGGATGGGGACACGAGCGAGCTGCGTGGCCACGTCAGCTCCGACGGTGGCGCCCCAGTCTACTTCGGGGGGTGGCTGCCTCCATCTGGCCCGCTCTTCGGGGACGGAGACACGGGCGAGCTGTGTGGCGTCAGTGGTCACGCGGTCGGCTCGTGAGGTACTGACCCCCCCCTCCCAGCCAGTGTTGTCTTCGGCCCATGAGGAGGCACCTCATCGTGCTGGTGCGTCTCTCTTCTTTGCGAATGTCACGGGATGGGGGCCCCGCATCCACAAGTTCGTGGTGGAACATAAGTGTAAGTACGGCATGATGGCGTTTGTGGAGACTCACGTCACCGAGGCGAAGCTCATTCATTATCGTGCCAGTCTGGACGTTGACGGTTGGAAGTTATCGGCTTGTGCTGCGGTGGGCACGGGTCGGTCCGCTGAGGGCACGAGTGGAGGCGAGTGGGTTTTGGCGCGGTCCCATCTTGCTACCACGTCCTTCGATCGGCAGAGGGCCCTGATGACCAAGGAGCGCCTGAAGGATCCCTGCCGAGGCTGGGTCCCAACTGTCTGGCACCTGCGAGCAGGCAACCTCATTGTTATCGCGGCCTAATTCTTGCCCAAGCACGGGTTCGGAGGCCTCAATCTTGATAGATGGGCTTCTCTACGTGCCTTTTTGGCATCAGTATCTGACCCGTGGATCATCGTTGCAGATTGGAACCTGACCCCGACGGCCCTGGAGCGCAACTCGTTCCTCAAGGATGTGGGAGGCACAATCGTTCTCCCAGATGTCCGTGTCACCTGCGACAAGGGTGCGGGGTCGCTCATTGACTATGCGGTGGCGTCAGGGTCGGTGGCAGACTTAGTCTCAGTCAAGGGTGTTCTTACTGTTCCTTGGAAGGTCCACTGTGGCCTCCATGTTGAGGTACAGGGCACGTCGACGGCATGGTGGCACCGCGCTTTGGTCTTGCCGCGGCCGCTCCCTGGTGTGGATCGGCCACCGACGGCCCCTGACCCGCAGAGCAAGACCTACCAGCGCAAGCAAGCAGCCCTCCAGAGGCGCAAGGAGGCCTTGCCTCCAGATCATCAAGATGCGTTTTACGAGCTCCACCAGCCCCCTGACCCTCAAGGTTTGACTGGTGATGTCTTTGAAGTCAGCCTGGATCGATGGAACTCTAACTTGCCCGCTGGAGCGGATGGAGACGGGTGCCCGAAGTACACCTTCACGGCGGAGATGCGCATGATTGGCGAGTCTCCTATCGTCTCGTGGGCACTCGAGGGGAACGACCAGCTATCCCAGGACTATGGCAGGTGGGTCAGCCAGGTTAAGCAGTCCCTCCTTGACCCGAACCTCTCGGCCCTCGAGCGTGCGCCGTACATTGGCAGAGCCCGAGGGTTTGCAGTTACGTGGAAGAAGTCGGTCTCGTCGCCTGGTCGAGGCCACTGGAAATATGATGGTGCTGAACATTGGTCGGTTATGGACACACTCTGCAGGAGGACCTTGGCCTTATTTCTTCATGACAAGGATGATGAGCAGATGTGTAGTGCGTTGGCCAGTGCTGCTGGCCGAGTTCAGCATCTCCGACAGTACCACTTGGATCAGCGACCTGACTTACAAGACAGAGCCAGGACGGCTCTTGATCAGATTGTCTCCCTGCACAAAGGGGTCCGCAGTCTTAGCAGCGACCAGATGGTTGAGGGGCTGTGTCAGGTCGTGGTGGCAGTTGAGGCGGTTGCAGCTTGTGAGGTGGCGAGGGGCATTGGCAAGGCTCGCAAGGCCTATGCTGACTGGGTCCGCCGCATGTGGCGCATTTCCCCTGGCGCTCTCCACCGACACGTGCGTGGCCCTGTCGCCCCTCGGCCTGAGGATGCCACGGTGGAGACCACTCCCAGTTCCTTTGCTGCCAATGCGGTGGCTGACCCCATCACGATCATGGCCAACAAGTCGACGAAGTGGGGCAAGATTTGGAGCGATGCAGTGGATACCCCAGCTAGTATCATTCAAGCGCTGAGTGCAATACGACGCAAAGCAGCTGAGGAGGACATCCCTCCGCTGCATTGTGAGCAGCTCCAGGCTGCTATTCGAGTCACGGGCAACAAGAAGGCTCGTGGAGTTGATGGGCTTGGGGCTGGCGACCTGAGCCGCCTCCCGACTCAGGCCCTCGAGGAGCTCGGGGACCTTTTCCAGCGATGCGAGGCAGCCCAGGCATGGCCGCTGCAGTTGGCGGCCACTCTTTCTGCCCTTGCTCCGAAGCCGTCGGGGGAAGGAGATCGTGTGCTGGGTATGGTGCCGTTGCCTGTCAAGCTGTGGTCGCGTGCTCGCCCGGCATTCACTTCGCAATGGTCCCCTGCGCGTGCTGCGTTCTGGGACACAGCAGTGCGTGGCTCTTCAGCCTTGCGCGCTGCCCTCTTGAGGGCGACGCTCGACGAGGCGGCCCAGGAGCAGCACATCAGCTTCCTGGTCCTCCTCTTGGACATCGAGAAGTTCTACGACAGCGTCTCGCTGGTGGGCCTCCTCCAGATTGGCCTGGACTTCGGCTTCAGTCCGACGGTCGTGGGTCTCGAGGTGCAGGTCTACCTCCACCCGCGCTACCTGCGCGAGCGCGGCTGGCTCAGCGAGGCGATCTCCCCTACACGCAGCATTGTGGCTGGCTCGTCCCATGGGGTCCCCTTCTCCAAGCTGGCCCTCTACCCCATCCTGGAGAGGGTCCATCAGGAGGCCCCGTCGGCGTCACTCTGGACGTTCATTGACGATACGGTCGGACGGTGCGAAGGCTCTGCGGAAGCTGTATTACCTGCTATGGATGTTGTGGGCACGTCCTTGGCTCAAGGGTTGAAGCAGCATCGTTTGGTTGTCTCCTCCAAGTCTGTGACCCTTGGCTCGTCGGCCCCCCTGGCCAAGAAGTCGGCACAGAGGTTGCGTGCGAGAGGAGTTCCAGTGAGGCCAGTATTGCAGGGCGTCGACCTCGGCGTCGACGTTGCGGCCGCCAGGCGCAGAGTTTGTGCCAAGGCCATCTCGAGGCGAGTCAAGGCACAACGACGAGCTGGGCGCATCAAGAGGCCCAGGCGTATGGCTGCACTTGGCCGTGAGGCCCGCGGCTTGTGGGCGACTGGTGCGTGCCCGCAGTCTACATATGGGCACCAAGTTCATGGCACCTCTCCGTCGGCCCTGCTGGCGCTGCGGCGCCAGGCTGGGGCTGCCGTCACTGGTGGCCAAGGTGGGCGCTGCTTGACCAGCACACTGGCGGCGTCTTTCGGCTTGAAGGACCCTGCGGTGGAGATACGACGGCAGTTAGTTCTGGAATGGCTCGGTTTCTGGCAGGCTCAGCCGCAGCTGCATCGGCGACTCAGGCTTGTGTGGCCGTCGATTCGGGGCCGCCTTGCGAAGGCGGAGAGGCGGCGCTGGAGCATTGTCAGAGGTCCGATTTCAGCAGTGTTTGCTACTTTGATGGATGTGGGGTGGGATCCTAAGACTGCGACGGTCTGGACCCGCCCGACTAGCGCTGGAGTTGATGAGTGGCACATCCCGTCGAGCGGCGACGAGGCGTTCGAGAACTTCGGCTCGACGGCAGAGCTGATCGACGACCTCATCGGGGACATCCGCTCGGCGCTGTGGGTAGAAGCAAGTAAGCATGACAATGGCGAGGGCCTGGCGGGTGGCGGTGACTTCTTCCATATCATGAGGGAGCCCAAGCGCCACCAGGCCCGTGGCCAGCATGATGAACATGGATTGAATTTGGCGGTCGTGGCTGGAGGGCAGTGGACCCGCACTCGCAGGCACCTCTGCGGGTACAAGCTGGAGTCGACCACATGCCCAAGGTGCGAGAAGCATCCAGAGACGCTGTTCCACAGGATTTGGTCCTGCGAGTGCAACGGCAACCACGACGACTACGACAAGACTGCCTCGCTGCTGCCTGCGGCGACAGCGCAGCATGAGAGCCAGCCAACTTTCTGGCTCCGTGGCGTGCCCAGCGTCTGCATGACCACGCCTCGCTTCGACGAGGCGCTGCTGGCCGAGCTCGAGCTCAGGCTGCCAGGCGCCTTTCATGAATGTGAGGAGGGGGGGTGGACGGTGGTGTACGGGGACGGGTCTGGAGGGAAGCACTCAGACGATCCTCGTCGGCGCCGCTGTGGAGCTGCTATCGTGGCCCTTGCGCCTGATGAGCAGGGTCAGTTCCAGGAGCGTGCTGGCATGGCGGTCCCTCTCCTCGGGCTGAAACAGTCTGTCCCGAGGGCCGAGCTGCTTGCGTTTTGCCTTATGCTCGAGAATGTTCCAGGTAATGTTGAATTCGTCACCGACCATAAGAATACAGCCAGGTCTTGGAAGTCTATCCTTGAGAATCCCAGGGCCTCTCGCCTCCAAGAGGACCTCTGGGAGCGTGCTAGGAAGTCTTGGAGATCCAGGCCTGGCCAGCTTGTAGTTCGGTGGACCCCATCCCACACGGATGAGAGAGCGAGTTTTAACTGTGAGCAAGAGATGCTCACCGCCATGGGAAACATGGCTGCGGATATCTGGGCGGGGAGGGCGGCGGAGTTGGCGTGGGAGAGGGGGCTCGTGGGGGACCTTCCTCGGACCGATGCGGTCGACTCTGCTGCTGCTATGATCAGGAGGCGTGCCCGTCGTGCGCTCCAGGATGCTGCTGCCGCCGACAATACGTCGAAGGCTGAGAGGGATGCGGTGCCCATCAAAGCGGTGCCGAAGTCTAGAGTTGCTCGAGCTCTCGCGGCCTCCGCCCACCGCCTCTACCTGAGGGGCTCCGTGTGGGTCTGTGAGGCGTGCCACCAGACTGCGCCCCAGTCGAGGTTTCTGGAGTTGAGCTCGAGCCCCTGTTTAACCCCCCCTCCTCCTCCTCCTGAGGCTCCTCCCCCTCCCAGGGATCTGAGGATCACCCAGGGTATCGGTTTGAATTTGCAGGGAGTTGAAGTCCACCCGTCGCACTCGCTCGGCCGAGCGGACCAATTCTTCCTGACCTTTTGTCACACCTGTGGGGCCTACGCTACAGTGGACCCCCGTCATCTCATCTCTGAATGCCGTCCGAGTCGGAAAGGCTTGGACAACTTGGCCCGTCTGGGGAAGGGGCTCTACCCTCGTCGTGACGGGCCCCCTAAGGCTGTAAAGATGGCGATGCAGGCTCGTGATGAGTTTGACGCCCGACAGGGGCGCCCGAGTGGGAGCGGAGCTGGATCGTCTAGCGATCCTGGCCCCGCTCTCACTCTCTCTCAGGATGCGCCCGCGGGTCCAACCCACTAATCCCCGAAGGCGCCGTCCTCCTTTGTTGCCACTGCCCCAATTGTCTCCCTGTGGGCTGGGGCGTTGTGGCCCGCAACGCTGTTGCTCCGATTGAATCCAGCTTGAATCCTCCTCCTCCTCCTCCTCCTCCTCCTGCTCCTCCTCCTCCTCCTCCTCCTCCTCCTCCTCCTCCTCGTCTTCCTCACTCATCACTCCTCCCTCCACCGCTTGGACAACAACCAGACGTTACACAACCGTAAGCGTTCGCAGGTCTGGGCGGAGCTCTTTGAATCAGCGGCTGAGGGCCCCACCATGGGGAAATCCAGCGCCGACGCCAAGACATCAACGCCGACCTCCGAATGTGTATATATGTAGTGCGTTGCGATGTTCTCGATTGTCCTGCCCATTCCTCCCCATCTTCATATTCCCGCTTCGTCTTCCCTGCCAAACTTGCGCAAGCCTGCCTTGGGGGGCCAAAGAGCGCCCACATCGATGCAGACTTGAAGCGAGTCCGTGAGGATACGTGCCTCTCCCATGACAAGGGCAATGAATAGGTCCTGGGTGAACTCCTCTCAAGTTCAAGCCGTTCTCTTAGTCCTTGGCTGGGTTGCACTGCAGGTGCATCTTATCGTATCCGTCCTCCGCCATTTCGTATTCCTCCCCCCTCCACGCTCGTCGACGGGGCGGCATCCCGCGCAGAACACGGCCCATCGGAAAGCTCCGCCAGCTGCCGATCGAATCCGCTGACCCTTCGGCGGATGTGTGAGGGACGCTGTCGTCGTCATCGTCGTCAGTCCGAGACCAGTTGAGGAAAACTGATATGATAGCCAACGTGGACCCCAGACCATGTTGTCCCCCCATCCGACAAGTTGGGGTCATTAGATGTTAAGAACAGACCTCCCGACCCGTCCACCCTGCTTACCGCGGCCGCCAGATCCCCATGTCACCCGAATATCCCAGAGAGTCCCGCATCGCGCCTTTCTGCATACCGCGGCCGCCAAATCCCCAGGTCCCCGAGTGTCACTGGGAGTCCCGCCTTGCGCCACACTGCATACCGCGGCCGCCAGATCCCCAAGTCCCCGAGTGTCCCCGAGAGTCCCGCCTCGCGCCACTCTGCAACCCGCGGCCGAGATATCCCCGCCAAATATGGCTCCAAGATGGCCGAAGACGGCCCAAACGGCCTTACTTACAAGGGCCCCAAGCCGGCCCAAGAGGCCCCCAAGAGGGCCTCCAGAAGGCCCGCAGAGGACACAATCATTGATTGTCCTAAGGTGTTTGAAATGTGGTATGGCAAGTGTTTCTTTTCGGCCTTCCGACGGCCCGAGACGGTCCAAGAGCCCCCAAAGATCGCCCCAAGATCGCACAAGAGGCCTCGACGATGTCCCTAGAACGGCCCAAGAGGACCCCAAGACGGCCCGCCCGAAGACGGCCAAAGAGGCCCCCGAGAAGCCCCCAAAGGCCCCCAAGATGCCCAAGGAGGCTCAAAGATGCTTCCAGGAGGCCCCCAGGAAGCCTCCAGGATACCCCAAGACCCCAAGAGTGCCCCCCTCCAGCATCCTCATCCTCAGGCTCATCCTCATCATCATCATCAGCATCATCAAAATCATCACCACCATCACCATCAGCAACATCATCATCATCATCATCGTCGTCATCATCATCATCATCATCAGCATCAGCATCATCAGCATCAGCATCAGCATCAGCATCAGCATCAGCATCAGCAGCATCATCATCATCATCATCATCATCATCGATATCATCATCATCATCATCATCATCATCATCATCATCATCATCATCATCAGTATCAGTATCATCATCACCATCATCACCATCATCACCATCACCATCATTATCATCATCAACATTGTTGATATTCCTCGCCATGATCCCCCACATGTTCCAAGAAGGGCTTCCTCAACGGCTGGGGGAACACACGGTCCGATAGCTTGGCAGAGCTCTTGCCACAACGCTCACCACATGGGCGATTCCAAAAGACAGGGGGCGGCGATGATTCGCCGTAAACGTCTTCGATAAAAACGGTTGATCTCCAGACACGGTTCCAGGCAATCTCGCCCCGACGCAGGCTCCAATTTCTTTGAAAACGCCCACTCCGTTCGAGCGCGGGTTTGTTCAAATCCGAAGACCCTCAAGGACGACAACTGCTCCCGCTATACACTTTCTTCTAATGTATTTCGAAACGCCCCCGCCAAAGGTGCCCCGAAACTCTGGAACAGCGCTCTCACTAGAGCCTCATCGCAAAACAGTCAAATTTGGTAACGGCCCAGCTTTAACGACAACGGCTCCCGCTCGATATCTCTTCACAGAGACGCCATGGCCAGAACGGCGCTCTCGCTCAAGACTCCACGCGACTCAAACTGGTAACGGCCCAGCTGCGACGACGACTCCCGCTCGATACTTCCTTACGATTTACTCCGAGACGCTCTGGACAGAGAGGCCCCCAAACTGAGGAACGGCGCTCTCGCCCGAGACCTCCTCGTGATACAATCACGTTGGTGAGTTGCCCCCGGGCGGGAGTGCACTGCTGGATGCTTCTCCCAGAGACTGGTATGACAAGACTTCCCCCCCGAAAGGGGGGGGGTTATAGACTTAAAGACTTAGCGGGCGGGCGGAAGGGAGAGGGAGAAACAACTGAAAGTCAAGACAACACATGTTCGCAAGATGGCCGTCATCGTCGCTGTTGCCGTCGTCGTCGGGGGGATATTTGCCTCGCGTCTGTTCGTCTGGGGGGGGACTTGGGGTCCTCTTGGGACGCGATGGAGCTCCGGGAAGCTCCCTGAGGTAGCTCCCTGAGGGCCGCAGACAGCGTGCCAGCCCTAACCCCCACCCCAGGAGGCCTGACGCCTTGGAAGCCCAGAGGGCAGCCTGCCTGAGCCCAAGGGTCGCAAATCCCCTGCCCTTTTGCCCAGGGGAGGACGGCTTACGACCCCCAAAAATTGCCCTCCAGAGGCCCCTAGACCAGGGAGCGCCAAGACTCCACCGAGAGGCCCCCAAGAGGCCTCCGAGAGGCCTCAAGAAGCCACAAGAGACCGAACAACATCCTTCGTGGCGCTGACTCTACTGTGCCGTCACGGACCGCCGGCACGACAACGACGACCACGACAAAAGGAGTGGTGGTTGCTGATGGTCCGATTCCTCACCACAACTACCATAGGTAGGAGAGCGAAGAGGAGGAGGAGGAGGAGGAGGAGGAGGAGGAGGAGGAAAAGGAGGAGGAGGAGGAGGAGGAGGAGGAGAAGGAGGACCTTCCCATCCTCCCACCTGTGATCATGGTGATGGAAGGTGGGCCCGTCAGTTGCAGCAGGGGCGCGCCAAGGCGGTGAAGACCTGCACGACCTCCCGCGACCTCCACGCCTCGGCGGCCTGGGGTGGCGTGCGCTGGCGAAGAGGGAAGGGGCGTGCGCAAGCCGGCAGAGGTCCAGCGACGAATATGCGCACGGGTGGCTGTGCAGGTGCCTCGCACACGGCGCGGTGACCTCCCTGAGGGGGAACCGTCGGGGGGGGGGCGCTCGGGAGAGCATCGACCTGGCATCGGCGGTGCATATACATATACATACATGTGTATATATATATACATATATATATATATATGCCACCGTTCTCGCAAAGGTCTGCTGCAACTATCGACGCCGGCGGAACCGGCCAATTGCCCGATCCGTGGCTTGGCGCGCGGCAAAACCAGCATCGGTTAAAGTCTGAGGGGAGGGGGGAGAGGACGAGTGGCAATGGGAGACCACTCGGTGGAGATGGCATATCAGCACGATGTCGCGGGCCCTCTCCCATTTTTCGGGCTCTGTGGCCCCAGTGTCTAGAGCCAGGCGCTCGTGCGCAAACGGGGCGAGCGCGTGGCCCAGCGCTCTCTCCGCGGCGCCGCGGAGGCGCGGGCACTCGTCATAGTGCACCATGGAGTCGGCCCCCGCCGGGCAGCCGAAGATGCACGGTTCGTCACGCGACTGGAGTCGCGCCGCCGTCGGCCAGGCCCCGGCCACGTCCGCAGTAATGCCATCCGCCGCGCTTGCGGCAAGCGTCGGAGATCGCCGGCCAGCGCCTCCCAGTCGAGCGCCTCGGGGGTCTCCACCGAGGGATGCCAGCGCCTCATCCGCCTGGTCATCGTCGAGGCCAGGTCGTTGGTGAACACGCTGGCGTGGAGCGTTCGCAGGAGCGCCCCCTGCAGGTGCAGCTTGCCGCCGGGCGCCGCCAGGGAGCCGCCGTCCATGGCCGCGGAGTGGGGCTGCAGGAGCTCCCGCGCGCGGTCCAGCGCCGCCAGGCCCGCCGCGCACAGCTTTGGTGAATCGTCCAGGCCCTCCGAGGCCGCCCGCAGGTGGAAGACCAGAGGCGCGTCGCTGCGACACGATGCCGCGCAGCGCCCCTGCGCAGAAACGGCGGTCGGCAGGTGTCTTCGCCGAGCGGCGCAGCAGCGTCAAGTTGGCCCCCCACCCGCCAGCGTGGTCAAGACCGCCCGCAGGCGCACGGCAGCAACGCACACGTTGGCAGAGGTCAGGGCGGGCGCGCCAAAGTCCTCCAGGACGTGCCAATCCGCTCGGGTGAGCGAGTTGGCAGGCCAATGAAAAAAGGCGGCTGTGGATATGCATTTCGTCGCGCGTGAGATTCCACGGCAACGGGAAGAGCTGGCCCTTGTAGCCCAGCGCGGGGATAGCGTGCCGGTGATGCAGCGCCGTCGCCGTGGAGGAGCAGGAGCCCGTCTTCGAGATTGCCCCAGCGCGCTCGCGCCACGCCGCCAGCTGCGGCGCCCATTGCGTCTCCAGGCTCACGTTGACACCGAGAATGACGCCGAGGTACAGCACCTGCTCCGCGATGTCGAACGCTGCCCAGGCCGCGCTGGCCGCGGCAAGGCATGCCAACGCGGCAGCGCGCCTGCCATCATCCAACGGCCCTCCCAACGGCACGCACTTGCACTTCGAGATCTTCAGTGTCAGGCCGGCCAGGCGGCGGCAGAGGCCCAGCACCCTCGCTAGCACCCGGCAGCCGTGCGGGCCATGCGCAATGGCGCCAAGGTCGTCAGCGCACGCCCTGGCGATGCCCAGACGGCGATCCTCGAGGGACGCGGCGAGGTCGATCAGGAAGACATTGGCCCCGATCGCGTAGAGGTCGCCGCTGAGAGGGCAGCCCTGCAGCACGCCCGAGTTTACGATGAACAGGAAGGTGAGCCCCGCGTGCGACTCCTCGAACATCTGGACATCGAAGTAGAACATCGCGAGGACATTCAGGATGCCGATCGGGAGCCCAAGGGCCCGGAGCGACAGAAAGAGCCGCAAACGCCTGAGCAAAGTCGAAACTCAAAAGCAAAGGCTGGACCATCAGGGCCTCTGGGCCGAACGACGCTATGTGGGAGAACGTATCTAGATCCAAAACATCGTGCAGGAAATTCCGTCCGCGCATGAAGCCGCGCTGGATCGGGGAGATCACTGGGGCGATGATTTTGGCGAGCACCACATGGACGGCGCTCGCCACGGCGCTCGCCAGCACCTTATTGCTACACTGCTTCAGGGCCAAAGGACGGGTGTCACTAGCCGGGCGCACTACTCCATCCTTGTCAGCCTCCCTCGTCCCTTTAGGGGGGAAGACGGCGAGGGCTCGGGCGAATCGAGCGCTCATGGGCCTCCCAAGCGCCATCCACCGCAGCGCGTGCGCCAGCGCGTTGATGCCCTCCTCCGTGCCCCAGCCTGCGCGCGGCGCGCCGTCGGGGCCAGGCGCCGACGCCCGCGCCCTGGAGATAACCCGGCGCATTGCCCGGGGCGGGAGCGCAACGCCAGCCAGCTGCTCGGGCGCGAGACGGGTCGACAGGCGGTCCAAGTACCGCTGGGCGGCCCGCTCGTCGACAGGCGTGACGTTGGAGAAGACGGGGGTCCAGTGCGCCGCGAGCGCTGCTGCCCGCTCCGAGGGGGTGTTGACCACCTGGCCCTCCACCTCCACGCCAGTGAGGTAGCGCCGCTTGCCGAAAGGCGACCAGAGCTTCGTGCGCCGCTCGTGGGCGCGTCGCTGCCCCGCCAGCTGCTGTCGTAACGGCGCCGGCGTGGCAGGGCCAGCCTGGGCTGGGGAGGGAGGCCGGCCTGGGGCCAGCTGGCCACGGCGCGCCTCCTGGCGCAGGAGATCGGCGCGCTGGGCACGGTCGTGGGCCGCGCGGAACGCCGCGCCATCCACCAGCAGCATTCGCCCGGGACGGACCTCGACGAACTCGGAGAGCCAGCTGTGGACGTGGATGAGCCGCGCCGCGAAGTTGTAGTCCTGGCGCCAATTGCAGCGTGCCATTCATCGGAACACCATGGCTCTCGAAGCCTTGGAGTTCGGTTCCCGTTGAAGCCGCCTGTCCCGCATGCGGGCGCCGACCTCCTGCAGGATGCGGGCGTGCAGATCCAGCATCGTCGGCGGGTGAGCGGCGAACGAGTCAAGCGCCGCGGCCGCGGCGTAGGCAGAGATCAGTTCCCGGGCGCCGGACATCCGGAAGAGGGACGGCGGAATCGGCTTGCAGCTTCCGTCCATCCGCGTCTGCCCGCTGGGGTCGCCATCGCCGTCGCGGTGGCCGAAACGCACCAGCAGGACCCCATGGTCGCTTAGCTCGCGGGCGTGGAGCTCCTCAGGGGGCTCGGCGACCTCCGCCTGCTGCCGCGTCTGCTTGAGGAGCCGCGTCGGGCATGCAGTGAAGACCCGGTCGATCGCCGAGAACGTCTTCAGCCCGCGGTGCACGTGCGTCGGCGACCGCGCCACGAGCTCGACCATGCGCCCAAACATTGCATTCCACTGTCGCTCGTGGCGTCGCGGGGCGCGCCGGCCGTCGGCCTGGGGCTGCGTGGCCAACGAACCCCCCGAGACCCAGTCATGGTGGAAGTGGTCTCTGGCGTAAAGGTTGAAATCGCCGGCGACCACAAGGGCGCACGACGCGGGGGCACGAGTGGCATCATCAATGTCCGCAGCCAGCATCGTGCGGATGCGCTCGAACTGCGCGTTGGAGAAGTTGAAATTGTGGATATTCCAATGCACGAGGCAGCCAGAAGGGCCAAAAATGCCATCACTAGGAATCAAAACTTTGGTCTGCAGGACTCGGCCACGCACCGCCTCCGTTGCCTCATAGTTGCGCTCCTCGGAGTACGGGAAGATGGTGAGCACGCCGCCTGTCATGCAATCCGGGAAAAAAGAACCTTCACAATGCACCCTCGCCCCAGACTGGCGTAGCCAGTCCTGTGCTTCCAATAGCGATCCATGCGTCTCTTGCATAGCGATCACATTGCGTTGCGCAAGGAAGGGTTGCATCAACTCGCCCTTCTGGCGACGTTTGTCTTCTAGGTGGTGAAAGCATTCCAAGAAATAGCACCCATCGGAAGCTTCCCATTCCACTTCCGCGCGAAGATGTCAAAGCGACCACTGCACAGCAGCCACCTCCACCGGCCCGCCCGCGGACCGCCTCAGCAAGCGCAACGCGCTGGGGGCCCAGCTGCGCCAAGGAGGGATCGCACCAGAAGACCTGCGGAGGCTGGCGGCGAATTGCAGAAGGCTCAACCTTGCAGATGGGCATGAACTTGTAGGTGAGCACGCCGCCCTCGCGGTGGACGAAGATTTTGCCATCGGGGACCAACGGCCCCAAGGCCAGGCGGACCTTTTTGCAAGCAATCTCGCGGGCCACCTGCTTGGGGCTCTTGTCCACCGACATGCGCAACTCAGTGGTCTCCCCAGCGCCGCCGGGCAGGGGGCAGTGGATGCGCTCCCACCGGTCGCGTTCGGGTTGGAGCAGCGCCAAGAACTTGCGGACCCGCATGGCCGCCAGCCCGCTCGCGCCACCCATGCGCAAGACGTAGCGCTTGGACAGCTCTTCGCCCTCCAGCTAGTAGTCGGACTCGGATAGGGAGGCGTTGGCGAACATGCCCGCGAGAGCTGCGAGCACTGCATTCTTAGCAGGGGCCCTCTGGGAGGTGATGACCACAATCGTAGGTCCACCTCACGATCCCAGGACGGGCTGGGAGGTGGCGGAGGCGGCCGCGCCGAGGCAGCCACGTTGAGGGCAAGGCGGAGCTCGGCGATGTCCCTCCGCACCTCGTCGATCGCCGTGTCCTGGGCGGCCAGCCTCGAGTCGACCTGGGCCGCGTGGTCGGTGATCTGCCTGGCGACCTCCGCACGGTGCTGCTGCATGGAGGATTCGAACTGGGAGCGGGTGGTGCGCCCCTCTTGGCGCAGGGCGACCATGATGTCGCCCAGAGAGACATCGCCCCCGGCCGGTGAAGGCGGTGGGGGCCGCTGTCGGGGGTCCACAGCTGCACCGCCAGCGCCATCGCCACGAGGAGGACGCGAAGCACCGCCAGGAAGCGCCCCAGGGGCAGGACGGGCCGCCGCTCGGTCAAGCGGGGCAGGGATCCCTGGCCGGCTGGGGGGCGGGCCGGGGCCAGCGGCGGCGGCAGCCCATGGGTCCCCCGCCAGGCCCGAAGCCGCGGCTGCGCGCTGCACCGCGGCGCGCTGCTCCTGGGGCGGGAACGCGGGCGCAGCTTCGAGCTCCGCAGCCAGGCCGGCCGCGCCATGAGCGTCTGGAGGATGAGCTGCAGAGGGCTGGCCACGTGCGCCGCGCCCATCAGGAGCATCGCGACGATCTCGGACAGCGCCTCCACGAGACTCGCGGTGCTCATGGCCGTGGCGGCGGTGGCCCCCGCGGCGGGCGTGGGAGCGGCGCGCGCGCTCACCACTCCGCGAGGCCGAGCGTTCAGCGTCGCTGTCCGAGCTCGAGTCGCGCGGAGCCGAGGCGCGGGGGCGACCAGCATCGGCAGCAGCGGCAGCACGCTCCATCGCGACGAGGAAGAACGGATGCTCGCGTCTGCCCCCCGCCGCCCGTGCTAGCGCGGAACGGGCCGATCGGTATCAGAGGAGGTATGTGAAGAATTGTTCCTGAAACGCAGACCCCGCGCCGAGGCCCAGGTGTTGGCTGCCTCGCACGCGGGGCCTTGGGTCGGGGGTGGGGAGATCCCGAAACGCCTTGAGCCAAAATGGCTTGAGCCAAAATGGCTACGGATATATATATATATATATATATATATATATATATATATATATACACACACATGGGCGCCCCCCGCCCCGGCACCCCCAAACCACCTCAAAACAAACAAAACGCCAACTGATCGTGTTATCCTCATCCTTCTCCGTCTCCTTCTCGGCATCCCGTCCTCCTCCTTCTGAGAATCTGAAAACGACTCTCTTGGGCTCGTTTGGGGAGGGGTCACGTCTCTGAGCGCAGGGGCCTGAACACGCTATGTTTTCTATGTTTTGTGTTCTGTTTTTCCTGGTTTTCTGGTTTCTGGCAGAGACTACGCAAGCTGGCTCGTCTCTCCCAGGAATCCGAAAAAACACACACACACACACACACGCACACAGCGTGTTCAATCCTTCTACGCCAAGGGAGGAGGAATGTGAGAGGATACAGGACTGATGCGAATGAGCGGAGGCCGAACTGTGTGAGGGTGTGCCGAGATTGACTTGGGGCCTTCGGTAGAGGCTCATCTGCGTGGTCACGGAACGTTCGAGGGGTGCGCCGAAGAAATTCCCCACGCTTCCCCTTCCATTCCAAACAACAGCATGGGTGAATGCAAGTGTTGCCTTTTGTGCCAAATCGCAACGTCACGACAGATCAAAAACAATATGCGTATCCGCGCATATCTCGCTCGGGCACTCCCGGCACGTTTGCCCACCATCTCGCAGCGCGGACAGTATTCCAGAGATAAGCTTCACGGGTCATATGTGGCAAGCAAAAGGGCTGCGCATCGGCGTGCGCATCAGCTGCAGCAGATACTACTGCGCTCGTTTCAGTCAGAGGCCGAGACCTCGCCCACTTGCGGGAAGGACCACTCGTCGCCTGAAGCGGCGGCCGCGCCCTCGGCCATCGCCGCGGCGATATCCTGCGAGGAGACATCGGCGGCTGGCGGGCGCGCTGGGGACAACAGGTCGATGCTCGAGCCGTGGGCCCCCCTCCCGCGCTCGATGATGCTCTCCTTCGTCGCCTGCGTGGCCCTCTCGCGCTCCTCCTCGTCCATGGTGGACGCGTCGGGGCAAGCCGAGCGCTCGACGCCGCGCTTAAGCGGCTGCGGCGAGGAGACGTCGATCACGTGGCCGTCAAAGGCCACCGCGCGATCGCAGAAGCTTTGCTGAACGGCGCGGCAGACATTCAGCTGCTTATCGATATCACGCGTATCTTCGAGAACGGGGCACGAGGCGCTGGTCGGCTGACCAGCGGCCGCTCGTGGGAACCATTCGCCCCCCTGCCTGCCGCTCGGCGGCTGCGTGGCCACCTCTGGGAATGAATATCGTGGGCGCGTCCTGGTCGAAGAGCGCGGGGCCACGGACCGCCGATGACTGCCCGAGCTCCCCGCCCCGCGCTGACTTCCTCATGGCGGCCACGGCCCACCTCGTGCGCTGGTCGTAATCGGATGGAACGCGAGTCTGGTCTTTCTTGAATGCATTGAGGATGTCGTGCGTCAGGGGCGTGGAGAGATCTGGTTTCGCGGGAACTGGCCGCGGAAAGCGAGGGTTTTGCTCCTTCGTCGTGGATGCCGCCCGAAAGTGCACCCAGTTCGGCGAGAGGAGCACAAAGTTGGACCTCGCCATGTACGCCTCCACGTCCGTCATCTGGTAGCTGCGCTGCTTTTTCGCAGATGAAACTGCAGTCGATAATCTTGATGAAGTCACTGAATGCTACCTCTTCCTTCTCCCTGCTGACGGACTTGACCGTCGCCTCGAACTCCTCGCTATACGGATTGACGCAGATCTGGCGGGACAGGTTCTGCTCGAAAGAGGCGCCGCCCCACCTGTGCAGCGCGCAGAAACTACAAAAACACGAAGGCCCAAGTGAACTTATTAACGTAATGTGGATGCGATTAAATAATTTGGTTTCCAAGAAATGCATTTTCCCGCGCGCCGCCGCCTCGCCCAAAGCAGCGCGTCTTCCTCGGCGGGGTCGAGGAATGCCTTGACCGCGTCGGGTTCCCACTTGGCCAACACGGTATCGTCTGCGATGGCGGGCTTGAACATGGCCCCAGGCTCCAAGCGCAAGAAGACGATCTTCTTCGCCGTGATGACGCTCGGGAGGAGGTCAGGGCGGCGGTGCTTCTCAATCTGGTAGGCAGAAATAGCGAAGCCGATCGTCTTGGATGCTGTGGATTTGCCGACCCTGGTCTTTCCGATCCACATTGTCCCATGGACGTCGTGGCTCCTAAGGATGGGGACGACGATGCGGTCGAACGGGGACGGGTCAAACCGCTTGAGAGTGACCGCCCAGCGCCCGAGTGTCCTCGCGCAGACAGCGCCCGACGCGTAGTTGCGGGGCGACTCCTTGACGCCTGATGCCATCCATCCTAAGATCGGAGAGTTCTCGTCGTGAATCATCTCGTCGGTCCGCTCCACGAACTGATTGTTGTTGTTGGAATTCGGGCCGTGCTTCTCGATGTAACGGTAACCCGCCTTCCGCTTGCCCTTGTCATGTACATCGGCCCCTGCGGCTGCGGCGGCGGCCGCGGATGGCTGGACCCAACTGCTGATCTGCACTCCGCCCAACCTGTCCATCATATAGTGAAAGAGCTTCAGCGGCGTCTTCTTGTCGGGCGAGTTTCCCCAGTGGGGAGTCAGCGCCGTGCCAGAGACAAAGACCTCCTTCGCGATGTCCGTCCGCGTGGCCTTCTCGAACTTGATGCATTTCAAAGCGAACTGCCGACCGTTGTCTTCCTTCGGCGAGGTGTAGAGCTGCATTGCGACTGCGATCTCGCCAGGGTCCTTGTTCGGTCTGAACGGGGCTGGCAGCGCCTTGTAGTTGCCGCCGCACATGGCGACATAGACCTCAACAGTATCCAATTGCGGCGCAGGCCCTTCCTCCGGCGTCACCCAGTCGACTAAACGCTTGAGGTTCACGACGCTGTCAGTGTGCTGGAGGGGCATGTCGCGGAGGCGAAGCGCCGCGGGGGGATCCGACTGGAAACGCTCTGGTTTGGCGAGGCACGTGTAAGGCTGCGCGACCGCCATGTGCAGCCACGTGTTCTTGATCTGGTCAGTCGCGGACTCGTCGCCGCCGGTGATCTCCCCCATCGGCTCGATGCCGCCGGAAGTGAGGCTCGCCATTCCAAGCGGCGGGCGAAGTTGGGCGGTTGACGCTAATGCTAGAGCAACTGCGAAGCTCGAGCCTGACCGCTCTGCTAAACTGATGCGAGTGCTAGACCAGCTAAACGGGCGCTGATTTGCTGCGGGGCAACGCTTGACCGCGCACTAGGCCCTTTTCTCATCAGAGCGCACTCGCAGACGTGCAGGCGCATCGCGAACATAGCTCTAATCGCTTGACCGCGCTCGCAGGCGTGCAGGCGCATCGTGAACATCGCTCTAATAACTTGAGGTCGCGCGGGCTAGCGCTGGCCGCTGGCTGCCCTGCGTCGCCCTGCCAAGCCACGCGGGCTCATTGGCCGAAGTCCTTGAGCCACAAGTCGCTCAACGTGTCACCCGTGCGCTGCCAGTAGTCGCCACCGCGGTTCCAGTATCCCCACTGGAACGAGCGGATCTTCTGGCGGAGAGACGTTGTGTTCACAACCTTGGCGCTACCGAGGTGCTTGCGCAGACCGAATCAGCAGCGGTCGATGACCTGGGCCCCAGCCATCACCCGCAGCTTCTTTCTGGGCGCGCCGTCCTCGGCAATGTCGTGGTAGCGGGGATTGGCGTACTTCGGCTTGGACCCCTTCCAGGGGGCGCCGTCGCGCTTGGAGCCCTTCCAGGGGGCGCCCAGCGGCGCTGAGCTTCCTCAGGGGGAACGTCGTCGCGCTTGGGGCCCCGCCAGGGGGCGCCCAGCGGCTCTGGGCCCCCTCGAGGGAAACGCAAGCGTTTATGTTTGCTTCTGCGTTGCGGCGGGTTTGCCGCTGACTGTTGTTCAGGCGGCGACGGCATTGAGCTCAGCATTCTCCAGACAGGGGGAATATTGTTTAATATCCCACTATATTGACAGGTGACCCTTTCCACCGCAGATGACGACGAGGAGGGCGCCCCCATGCGGAGGAGCAGGAGGAGGAAGATAATGATGATGAGGAAGAAGCCCCCCATCCCCCCACTCCTTCGTTTCGGGGTGCTGATATATCTATATATATATATATGTTTAGACGCGTGTGTACATATATGTGTATGTATATATATATATATATATATATGTGTGTGTGTATAGCGCCAGTAAATCGGCGGCAAGCCCCAAAGAGTGACGCTGCACGTTCCTTTGCATAGTAAACCGTCAGCCCCAAATTGACGATCGATGAGCGATTGGGGGCCGATGCGCCCCCCCCCCCTTGCCTTTCCCACGCAACGCTGCCCCTGACGTACGCGGGGGCCCACGCATGCCGCTCGCGCGAAACAGCGCGTGGAAGAGATGGCGTTCGAGCGCGGTCTTGCGTGGATAGTCTTACGCGCGAAAGTCCGCGCAGTCGGCCCCCATATTCGCACGTCGCTGACAAGGAGGCTCTGAGCGCACTCGGCGCCAGCTCACGCCAGCAATCCATGCTGAATAATCGCATGCAGATACGACGGGTTTATCATTGGAACGGGGATTCCGAATCAGCTGATCCGCGCCCTGCGCTTGCCACCTGCAGGTGGGTTTGCCCCAGTGTCAATGTTCCTGGAACCATGGGGGTCGGAACACCACCCCGACGTTCCAACAGTTTTGCGCGACATCCGCTTCTCCCCGGGCCCATTTGGTGCAGATGTTCACCCTGTATCCGTGTTTGACGGTCTTGGGGCGGCCGAAAGCGACCACCGGAGACCGAAGAACACAAGATACCCTCTCGAGCCCATAACCTCGAATTTCTCCCCCCTTCTTGCTGGCCGGCACCAGTGCCGAGCGACCTCAGAGTCCCAGCCAACTCCACTTGCTGTCGGTTTTCGCCCCCGCTCTTTCCGTAAATTGGACGCCCATCCACAAGAAACCTTCCACGCGAAACGGAACTTTCTCGCGCAACTACTACTCGGCCGTGCAGGGCGAGAGCCAACTCAAACACGTTTCCTCCGCGATCGCACTGCGTCGCCTGGTAGTGATAGCATCGGATTTTTCTCCGCTCAATTCGCGCAGCCCCGCTGGCGGACAACAGAGCCTTGAGCCAAATGGCGACGGATGTTTTGTCCGTCAGACACCTGTTGTTTTGCCGCACCAAATTTACGAGTGGTTGTATCCATGCACACCGGCATCCATGATGCTACGAACAAATACTTCAGCAACTGCAGCACTGCACGGCGGTGCCACACTACGCTGGTGCATTTGATGCACGCGTCTCGGTTGATGGCATGAGCTGTTTAGACCCTGTCGCGCCGGCAGTATCGCGCTCCGCGCGCGCGCTCTGGCCGAGCACAGTCGCACGAGCGTTTTCTGGCCAAATGCATTCGCGCAGGCGTTCTTTGGCCGCGCACTGTTTCGTGTTCAATGCCAGCGCCAACCTCCTGCATCGCCCGAATACAGGATAATGCGTCTCATACACAATCCAGATACACGACGCGCTTGCACGTTACAGTGGGTCGCGGCTACACAGCGGTCGCCCTGACAGAGCGCTCGCCCCGAGACACCCGAAGGCGGGGGACGTATATCAACCGCCCAATGACACCCGAGGGCGGATGGGCGGTCGTTCAATAGCGCAGCGGCATGGCAACGGTGATACGAATCATGATGACAATTGTATCATCACATGTATCTAGGGTCTCCACGCGTTCCCCCTGATCTGATGCTCAGAACGCCAGATCCTACTCTTGTCTTGTTTCAGCTGCGCCTGGCGCCCAGCGTGGAGGAGGGCATCATCCCCGCATTGCCTTCCGAACTTTCTCCAAAACGTCTGCGTTGGCAAATTTTGTCAAAACATCTGCGACCGTTCTCTCGATCAACTCGCGCTCCAAAAGAAGTCTGCCCTTAAGGAACTCCGCATATATCCAGCAGGTTCTAACTCCGAAGTTAGGGGTTCGCCCGTTCGAACCCTCCTGTGCGATCGCCAAGCGGCGTCGCCGTCCAGCAAAAGCTTGGTTGGCTCCAGCCTGATACCCCATTCCTCGAATAATGCTCGGATGCCTTCGGCAATCTGCCGCGCGAGCGCTGCTGCACCGAGCTCCGCCTCTGCTGCGCTGAGAGAGCTGACGGCCCGGCGCAAGGAGTACCACAACAGTGGATCTCCTGCCCGATTCAGGAATGCACCTGACTGGGCCCCGGTACTCGTGCCTGCGCAGCCGACGCAAGACCACGTCGCCAGAGAAGCTTCATCTCCGGCGCAAGGCAGAAATGGCCCACAATCATGCGTGCCAATGAAGTATCGCAAGGTTTCTCGCCAGCTGCTCGCTCCACCCGGCGCGTTTGCTCAGGGCGGAGGCCAAAAACTACCGAAATAGGCAAGGTCTGCTCGTGTTCTTGTCGATAGCCATTGAAATTATCCTGCGCAACCTTGGAGCTCGCGAGTGCCCTGGCTGCCCCCCCCCCTTCCCAGTGGGCCCATGGACACTGAGACTAAAACTTTCTCGTCTGACAGGCCATGCTTCTCAGGGGGCACGTCAATGAAGGGCTTCTGAAGGCGATCCCATCGGCGAGCCGCTGGATCTGAACCCGAGAAACGCGGACTCGGTGCCAGCCTCAAGCTTCGCCTTTTGCTTCGTCGTCCAGTGGCTGGCCAGGGATTCCTGGCTTCCTCGAAGCTCGCCCGCATCTCGTCCTGCATGCAGGCGGACCAACAAACATTCATCCACATAGACCATGAGCAATCCGAACACTACATGCATGCCCGGCTCGGTGATATTCCATACCTGGGTGTCTTCAGCTCGCTGTTGCAGGCAATGCGTTTTCTCATGAGCTTTCCAAATGAAATTACGGAACACCCGGCCCCGCTCTTTACCCCAGGCTCTCGGCGCGGCGCTCAGGCCGTGCGCCGCTCGTTGCGGGGCCCGCACTTCTCTGGGTGACGCGAGTCCTGCTTCGACGAAGGCCTTGGACGGGTTCGCCAATGCGCGGGCAGTCTCTGGGAGTGGCGCGCACACGAAAGCACCAGACACATCGGGAATGCCGAAGTCCCATCCTCGCAGGAGTCCCATGCGCAATCCGGCGAGCAAGCTGGATGCGTCGGCTTGCGCTGCCCACGAAGTCTGCGCGGGGCCGCTGCCCTCGAAACCGTTGCAGACGACCGCCCTGACTCAATAGACGCATCCCTGCTTCTTCGTGTGCGCGAGCTTCATCGGCATGGGCGGGCCGCGTTTCTCGCCCGCCTCTGCGGCCGTCGCGTAAACATTTCGCTTGAGAGAATTATCGCCGCGTTCCTTCTCCGGGGCAGCGCGCCCGCGCTCAGCATCGCGGCTTGGGGTCTGGCGCGCTCTGGCGGCCAGGGCCGTCGCAGGCCCCGGGCCGCCCGTAAGAAGATCGACGTAGCAGACAATCCCTGAACAACGCCAGGGGGCACATCGAACCGCCTTGCCGCGAGCTCAGATCAAAGGCGCCATCGCGGTGGCCAATTTCGCCGTCGCGGCCCCCGCAGGGCGTCTCCCCCGTGAGCTCTTGCGACGGAAAGGCTGTATAGGTGCTGCCGTTCCGGGAGGTGGATGCCCTTCCTCCCCCTCGTTCTGCGCCTCTGGCAAGACGCCCATCAGCATCGCATTTCATCATGTCCCGCGCCCTCTCCATGCAGAGACGCCCCGTCGACGGGCGCATGCGTGGGCCCGCGGGCCCACTCGTCAGCGTCGTAGCCTGCGTCAAGGTCTGCATCTGTTTGGCCGGGAGCGCGGTCCGGACTTCGCGAAGCGCCTGACCAAGTGCCCCCCGTAGTCCCAGCAGAAGACGGCGAGGCGGCGATGCAAGGCTGCCAGAACACTCCGACGTAGCCAGAACAGCGTGCAGGTAGGCACAGGCTGCACTGTCATTTTTCTACGATTGGAAAACTTCCCCAAATAAGCTCCTCGACGAAGCACGCGCTGCGGCAGCTTGGAAAGCTGGGCCCTCCATGAACGGGGCGATAGGTGGAGAACTGTCGAACTGCGGGACCAACTCTTCTAGCCTGACCAGGACAGGAGGTGACCTCTCTTCCGCGTTCAGATCCTCAGAGGGACGTTCGAAGAACGACTCGCCTGGCAACGCCGCG